TGATTAAACGTCCGTCTTACCTTTCCTCTGAGCCTCGAGCATCTACCGAAACATTTCGTCACTTCCCCCGTGCATCAATCTCACCAGACTGTGGTGAATCATCTGCTCCTCCGAACTGTAGACGCACAAGGCACTAACCACGTTTGCCTCATCATGCATCAGTATTCCACCAAGTTGTGCATGGTCATCCAGTCTGTCCGCCTGTTGATTTCCCAACACACCGGCGTTTCTCGGTGAAAAAATCCAGACAGTACTCCTCACCCGTGTCCTCCGCAATGAAACATGCCACGCTGCACAAAGCATACCTGTCCTGATCTTCCTCAGCATGCTTCCTGAGTGACCTATATTTTAAAGACCAAACGTCACTTAGTGATGGGGTCAGCATCGCGCCGGTCGCCTTTACTTCCCAGGACTGTACCCAGTACCCACTCAAGGCTGGGTCGACCTGGAAGCCAAGGTCATATGTGAAGAAATTCTTGTCCCTGTCAGAAGCCGAACCCACGACCTTCCGTTCCGCAGGTGAGCGTCCAGCCACTAGACAAGGGCAGCTCCCACTGTTGGATGTATATTCTTGAAATTTGATATGCAACCTGTTCACGATAATGCCCTTCTGAAAATTTGAAGGAGAAAAATTGTGAACAAGCGTCCGCTTTTTATTTTAGTTTGTTCAGTATTGTGTATCTGCGTTTGGGTTCCGGAGCCCTGTTGTAGGGATATTCCTTTAAAGTCGGAGTTCATCTGCCTGCGAGGTAAGGAACCAGTAGTCTGCATACAAATGAGTCATATCTGTAAAACGGATGCACACTCAACACTCAGAGTTCTGGAACAGAGCTGCAGTCGAGAAGTGGATGAACAACCAGAACTTTCCGCCAGAGTTGACAGCTAGTGAACGCGAAAAAAAAAAAAGTGTTGTGCAGCGGTAACCCGAGAGCATAGATCTTTTTTTTTCTTTTTTTTTTTTGGTAACAAAAGAGTTCCGAGATCTGAACCAACGACCTTTGGATTCGAAGGCGAACGTCTTGCCGCTACAGCATGGCGACTCCCAGAAACAATAGTATGTGGGACTGGAAAAATCCAATACCTGATTATATAGTGACCTAGAATAAGTGACAATGCCAGACAAAGAATCGGTTATTCATCTTGAAGACAGTAAAAAAAAAAAAGAATCCCTGTGTGAGTTCCGGGGCCTCATTGCGGGGATAACTAGAACAGACCCACTGCCTCCTTGACAAGCATGTCGTAAAAGTCGAAAAACTAGGCGCTTCCTTCGAAGTCGGAGTCTATCTGCCTCAGAGGCAAGGAACCAGCACTCTGTATACAAATAAGTCAGCTCTGTAAAACGGATGTGCACGCGACACTTAAGTTCTTGCACAAGACTAAAGTTCAGAAGTGGACGAACAACTAGAAATTTCCGCCGCAGTTTACAGCCGGTGAAAGCGAAGAAGAAGAAGCAGAAGAAGAAAAAAGAAATGAATAGAAAAGCCACACGAGGAAGCAGCAAATGAAAACTAATATGTCTGTCCATAAACTTCCATTATGAGTACACACATAAGTACTCCATTCGTCTGCTGTCCTATACGTCTGCTGCTACGAAGCAGAAACAATTTGGTTCCCGCGGTTTTATCACCAGTTTATGTGCTCGGCGGGAACAAAATCAATGAGTGCGTTTGTTGCCATAGTAATTTGATATACAACACCAGGAGCGATGCAGAAGAAGAACTGGGGGTGACAGAAGGATAACGAGAGATTCCCGCCATTTCTGCTGGAGCACACGCTGTAGCGGAAATTAGCGCTTTAATCAAATCATGCCACAGGCCCCTGAGGTTAAAAAACTAGAAATGTCAAAGAATGAGTAAGAGTCATAACGAAACAAAAGAGGCTAAATGTAAAATCAATTTTATTTAATATGTTAGTAAAGAAAAGGACAAAAATAAGAGATTCGAAAAAAAGATTGTTATTAGACGATCTGTTGTTTATTACAATCCTTATAAATATGAATACATTCTCTTCCTCATTTTCTTCTTCTTCTTCGTCTTTCTTTCTTTCTTTCTTTCTTTCTTTCTTTCTTTCTTTCTTTCTTTCTTTCTTTCTTTCTTTCTTTCTTTCTTTCTTTCTTTCTTTCTTTCTTTCTTTCTTTCTTTCTTTTCTTTTTTCTTTCTTTTTCTTTCTTTCTTTCTTTCTTTCTTTCTTTCTTTCTTTCTTTCTTTCTTTCTTTCTTTCTTTCTTTCTTTCTTTCTTTCTTTCTTTCTTTCTTTCTTTCTTTCTTTCTTTCTTTTTTTTCCTTTCCTTTCTTCTTTCTTTCTTTCTTTCTTTTTTTCCTTTCCTTTCTTCTTTCTTTCCTTCTTTTCATTTCTTCTTCTTCTTCTTTTTAATCATCACCATCATCTTCTTCTTAATCATCATCTTCTTTTTCGTTCCGCCTTAAAAAGGCGGTTAGCATGTCATGCTAAGGTTTACAGCTAGGTTGCGATATATGTGCCTTTTGAACCGACACACCCGATTTTAACAAAGTTTTTATAGGAGACAGTGGGTTAATTTTCTTCTTTTTTTACCTCACGTCTGGCTCCCAGGGCCAAGATGGTGATATTCCTGCATTTATTAACATTTGTTATATAAAGGAATTTCCAGACACTTAGTTCCTTCTTTTTCTTCTTAATTCGTTAGAGGGTTACATAAATGTGTGTTCCAGCTTACACGTGTTAACTGAAGAAATCTTTTCACACTTAGTTTATTAGAGAAAAATAATGTTCCTTCAATAACTTTTGATACTGTTTTTTTTTTTTAAGAGTGCTCGTGTATTAAATTTATTAGAAAAAGAACATTCCTTCTTTTATTTTATTTAAAAAAAGCGATTTTTTTTCCTCGTTTTGTAAGAAAAAAGAACATTCTTTCACTCGGTTTATAAGAAAATAAAATCTTCCTACTTTTTTGAGGTTACATAACCAAATGTTCATTAATTAACTTTGTTTTACGTGTAAATGACACTGTACTTAGTTTATACAAGGACACCGTGGTAATGTAACGACCAGACGCTAGCCTGGGGGTCGGAAGGTCGTGGGTTCGGGTCCTGGTGGAGTTGAACTTTTGTCAAAAATTACATTAGCTCTCAGGTCGACTCCGCCTTAAATGGGCACAGGTATAGTCCTGGGAAGTAAAAGCAGCTGGCGCGATGCTGACCACGTCACTAACAAAGTGCCTATTGGTATCAGAAATATAGGTCTAACCGTATATGTTTGCATTATGTTTGTTATGAAAGATATAGTTCCATCTTTTAGTTGTTGCATATAATTATGTTGCTTGATTTGTTCTGTATGTGTAAACTAGACTACATTAAATCGATTGTAACGAGAGAATGTTCCCAACGGTTTTTGGTTCGATTCTGCATCTGGGTGGTTTTTGTGTAACTGACACTGGCGTTTAGATACCATACAACATAAAATAAATGTCTTTAAAGTAAAGACTTTTTTCTTCTTCTTCTTCTTCTTTTTCTTGCTCTTGTTTTTCTTCTTGTACTTCTTCTTCTTGTTCTCGGTCTTAAAGTTTTTCTTGTTCTTGTACGTGTTTTTCTTCTTGTTCTTGTTCTTGTTCTTGTTCTTCTTCTTCTTCTTCTTCTTCTTTTTCTTCTTCTTCTTCTTCTTCTTCTTCTTCTTCTTCTTCTTCTTCTTCTTCTTCTTCTTCTTCTTCTTCTTCTTCTTCTTCTTCTTCTTCTTCTTCTTCTTCTTCTTCTTCTTTTTCTTCTACTTCGCGTCCAGTGGTTGTAAATTCGAAAAAGTTCTGGTTGTTTGTCCACTTCTAGACTTTAATTTTGTTTCAGAACTTGTATTTTGCGTGCACATCCGCTGTACAGATCTAGATTCTTTGTATGCACAGTATTGTTCCTTGTCCCCCAGACAGCTGCAATCCCTTCATTAGCCGACTCTTTCAAACAGATTTGAAATTGATCATGCTTCTGTTTCGTATGCAAACACAGGAGAAGCGAGAATATTTTGCTCTACGCGGTTTTCTACGACGTGAGTTTTTTACACCACGATTTATTTATTTTACACCATGATTTTTTTATTTTACACCATGATTTTTTTATGATCACCAAAGTCTGTTTCAAACAGTGGTCTTCAACTTTTTGTCAGGTCCAAGCCTCCTATCCCCAAATATATGGCAAGGAACCCCCCCCCCTCTCCTAAACACACACACACACACACACACACGCACAACATAACAAAATCTGATTAAAGAGATGCGGACAAAAAGGACAGTAATAAGCATTCGCAGAAAAACATAAATATAATTCAAAGTAGCAAATAAAAATTTTTTTAGCAATCACCAGCAACTGGTATTTTAGTCACCAGATATCAGTGGTGATGGTTGTCAGTGTTTTTTCATGACGATATCTACTATGTTTGGTCTGATGTTGGGCAAGGCACAACGGAGATCACTCTCCACGTCGAGCTGGCAGTGCTGTTTTGTTTTCATGACTGCTAAAGCTGAAAATACTGATTACATCGAGTGCAAAGGCACTAAGTTTCCAAGCTGCTTGACGCGTCCCTTAAAATTTTCTTGTTCCCCCAGGCTGGAGACCACTTGTTTAAAACTGCGTCGACATTCTAACCAGTTGATCAGCTCAAGTCTTGCGCCCCCCCCCCCCCTTTTCCCGTGTGCAGCAATTTTTTGTTTTGTTTTGTTATATGAAGCTCCACCCTGGCTTTTGCCGGGGGTCCTGAATATAACCGGGCTATATATATGGCCTAGCCATAGATATGACGTGAACGGCTGAATGGGGTTTTTAGGACCTCTCCACGGGGGATCGTCATCCGCATTGTAACACTTTGTGTCACTGGGTGTTAATTGCTTGTGTGATGGGGTACAACTTTCTACCTTCCTAACCAGCTGATTGAAAATTATTACAAAGCTGTAACCACTAACAGTATTTTTCTTTTGCATTTCTCTTTACAGTTTTCCGGTCAGATAGTGGGACCTCTGTCCGGCCGTTTAGTAGTGTCCCCATGCTTCACGACCAGACAGGAGCTAATGTCGGCGGCTCACCCTCGGGAGGGGGTGGTTCCATGCTGCCCTCTTTCGGCTTCACCCAGGAGCAGGTGGCCTGTGTGTGCGAAGTCCTGCAACAAGGAGGCAACATCGACCGACTAGCTCGCTTCCTGTGGTCTCTCCCTGCCTGCGAGCACCTGCACAAAAACGAGAGCGTTCTCAAGGCTAAAGCTGTGGTAGCGTTTCACAGAGGGAACTTTAAGGAGCTGTACAAGCTTCTAGAGAACAACCAATTCTCGCCTCATAACCACCCGAAACTTCAAGCCTTGTGGTTGAAAGCTCACTACGTGGAAGCTGAGAAGCTTCGTGGTCGACCACTGGGCGCTGTGGGAAAATACAGGGTCAGAAGGAAGTTTCCACTCCCAAGAACCATCTGGGACGGAGAAGAGACAAGCTATTGCTTCAAGGAGAAGTCTAGAACTGTGTTACGTGAGTGGTACTCCCACAATCCCTACCCTTCCCCTCGGGAGAAGAGGGAGCTAGCGGAAGCCACCGGGCTGACAACGACGCAAGTTAGTAATTGGTTCAAAAATCGAAGACAGAGAGACCGGGCAGCAGAAGCCAAGGACAGGTGAGAAAAGATTATTAAATGTATAGTATATTTATTACGCTTATTTAATTTTGTCTTCTTCGTCTTCTTCCCCTCCTCCTTCTCCTCCGACTCCTCTCTTCCCCTTCTACTACAATCACATTAAAAGATATTGGCTGCTGTATCGTGTTGTACAACTAGGCAAAGATATCTGTGCCTTGTAGCACAACACATATTATTTAAGCAAACCTAAATATCATATTATGAATTAATCAAGTAACAAAAAGTGTACTGATGGGCACTCATAGAAATAAGTAGAAAGATAGAAGAACACACTAGACAACATACAAATCGAAAGCTATAGTTACCGTTCTGGGAATCGAACCAGTCATCTCCAGACGACGTGTGCGCCCCGCCATGGATACAAGTGCACTAAGAACATGGTCAACTAGACACCCCCCAAAAAGGTGTCTTATTGGCCATGTCTATCGTACAGCTTGAAATCCACAACTATGGAATACAGACAGAATTCATTTCAAACCATAGGTTACAGAAATGTATATTAGCGAAGCATATGTCGAATAACAATCACAGCAACAGTTTACGAACACATTAGACCTTAATGCTTTGTCTAGAATACACACACATTTAAGAAAGGTATTTGATTGGTAGGTTCCGGTGTGTATACGTCATTCCTATAAATATCATAATGTGCGTCACGCATTAGATTTTCCGTATTTTTATAGACCAATCAGCACTCGCTGGGTAATGTGGTCAACGTCACCCCGAGAGACCTATTTTACTACTAGACTGACCGTTCCTGTTTAAAAAGTATGTTAAGAGCTCCAAGTCTAGACTAGTCAATTGTTGTTTTGTCGCAAATTCAGCTGCATTTTTTCATTTACCTTACACTTCCTCATCACAGTTGCCTGTTAGTTTGGTACACGAAACTAGGTCAGATCATTGATCGGCCGAAGGCCTTTTACTCTAGGCTGCTGATTGTTTTGTTTTGTGTTCCGGTGATTGTTTTGTTGTGCGTCCAGGGATCAGCCATTGAGACACGTGGTGGCGCAGTGGTCAGACGTTTGTGATCAGGTGATATTAATAGACAGTAGAGTCAGTCTTGGCTTGCCATCTAATATGATGACCAGAATCGCAGACTAAGGTTAGTTGCGTATCCTTTACAGGACGTTGCAGACCCAACCCCCGCAGACCCTGGCTGTTGTGTGGTTTCTCTAGGCAGATGTACGTCTAGTAGTTTGCCATTGCTTTCTGGAGGTTGGCCCCCTGATCCCACAGTCGAAACCAACGCAAAGCGCATGGCCCGCAGCTGGGATCGAACCCGGCATCACGGAATTACGAAGCGTTCGCATCGTCTTAGCCACAGAGCCGACGAATCACGGACTAGATGTGTTCAAAAGTGAGAGACCTTTTTCCAAGCCTTTTGTCGAACTGGGCATAAATCGCTAGACCAATATTTTATAGATAATTAAGTACTTGATGGGTGATGTGGTCAACATCACACCGACACCCTTTACTTCCAGTGACTTTATCTGGTACCCATTTAAGGCTGGGTCGACCTGGCAGGAATGGCCGTGTTAACAAAAATGTCCAGTTTCGGATATTTCATCCACGACCTCGCGATCGGCTAGCTGCTACAACTCGCGGTTCCCACTAAATATCTAAGCGTATCCCTTACAGCAGACATGTTAGACTGGCGGCCCACGGGCTGCATGCGGGCCTTTACAGGCACGCCTGTGGTCCGCAGGAAGGAAATAGTAACCAATCATTGTTTTTAAAAAACCTTTAGTTATCTGTGGTGTGATTCTCTTTGGACCCTCACTTTGATATGCCTGCTTAACAAGACATTGCAGATTAATCCGAGTCATTTTAGATATATTTTTTTTAAAAGTGTGTGCGTGTGTCATTTCTTTTATAGTTTTACTAGGCACTTTTATGCGCAGTAGTTTGCCATTGCCAGGTAGTGTTTCGTACAATTGTACAAATTAACGCAAAGCGATCTCTTGCACTCAACATCCAGGTTCTGGAAGAGGACAAGAGTGCAGAAGTGGACAAACAACCAGAAGATAAGGAAGAAGGGGGAATGCAGTTTATATTTTCGGACCTTTCATATTTGAGAATGTGTTCTGACTGACAGCAGTTTCGGCATTAAGGACACTCAACGTTTTAAAACTATAAGATCACTGGTGTACGGGTATGGAAACTGAACAGGGCCGGTCAATATAAAAAAATCAGAGGGTGACCCCTTGAAGCCGTATAAATATATTAAATGTAAAAACAAGCAGTGTATTGATTGGCACTCATAGTAAGAAGTAGCAAGATACAACACACTAGAAAACAAAAATCGAAAGCTAAAGTTACCATGGTGGGAATCGACGGTAACTATAGCTTTCGATTTTTATTTTATCTAGTGTGTTCTATCTATCTACCCTTTTCTATGAGTGCCAATCAATATAATGACTATACAACAGGAGGAGACAGAGACGTGTTTGATGAGATTTCAAGAACAGAATTCAGGACGCAACGCCTCTGGAAGAAAACCAGCACACGGGATTTAAAAAAGATTTGGCACATCTTGTTACGGTTTTGCATCTATGCTTTCAGAAGTCTTAATTATTCACCTCTTACGACATGCTTGTTAGGATGTGGCAGTAATCTATCTTCCCCAACCGCCCACCCTCCCCTCCCCCACACACACATACATAAATACGCCTCTTTCCACAAGATATGGCATCAGAACCTGCACAAAGAAATAGGATATACAGCTTACAATATACCTACACAACATGTGTAATAGGAAATGTAGGGAGTGGAGAGGCAAGCATAAAATCGGATAGGGAATGAACGTTGTAAGACCACAGTGAACGTCCTAATTTTTCCTTTGCATGCATACACACTCTTTCCTCTCGAATCGGCTCGCTTCACTCATTAGATTAAGTCATCAAGGTAGTAGGAGCGTTAGCATTGCAACCTTTGACCTTTTTGATTGGTTCGCCATGTTGGATTCTGATTTGCCTAGCAACGGCATGAAAATGTGCTAGCGAGCCGTATGAAATGACAACTAGATAGAGTCAATTTGTTTGTTTATCGCTAGGGGGATTTTCCCCAGCGCTTTCCTCATAAAACTTGCACAAGCCTATGTCGGCTGGTTTCATTTATCACTCACTTCTGTCAGCTGTTTGCCCGCTCTGCACTATACATAGGGAGTTGCCGAGAATTCGCACTGCTCCAGTCTTGCCAGCCGCATTCCTGTAGAGAGAAAGGGATAGAGATGAAATATGTCGTTTTTATTCGAGGACTTGAACGAGTGTGTTAAGCATAATGTATTTTGAGTATTGTTTAGAATTATGATAACGTTTGTGTGTTTGCGTTCACCGGCTGTAAACCCCGGCGGAAAGTCCTGGTTGTGCGTCCATGTCTAGACATTGGTTGTGCTCAAGGACCCGAGTTTTGCGTTTGCACCTGTTTTACAAACCTGGCTCAACTGTATACGGGCTGTTGGTTTCTTGCCTCTCGTGCAGGTACCACCATCTTTAGAGGAATCCGCTAATTAGTCGACTCCTGCGGCATGCTAGTTAGGGAGGCAGTTGACTCCCCCCCCCCCCCAACGAAAAAACAGGGCCTCGGAACCCACCCTGTAAAAGAGGTTGGGGGGGGGGGGGTAGAATAAAGAAGCTAGGCTATTTTTAAAAAAATCGTGGAAACGTTTTTTACTGACAGACATTTTTTTTTTTTGGGGGGGGGGGGGGGGGGGGGGGGGGGGGGTGGGGGGGGGGGGCAGTTTTTCGGCCGTACCATCTGACTGACTGACTTTCTACCCCACCAAGACATCACACAAGCGATAAACACTCGATGACACAAAGTGCCACCATGTGGACGAGAATCACTGTGGAGAGGTCCCAGCAACCGCATTCGGCCATTAGGCCATATTTATGGCCAGGCTATATTGCGGCCTCTGGCAAAAGCCAGAGTAGGGCTTCAAATAACGAAAAATTTCATCCTAAAAAGTACGGGAAGTGGTGGCCGTACCGTCAGTACTAGCATGACAAATGCCAATTGTCCGATTTAATCTTTGCCGGTGTGTCCCGGCCGTCCCGCCGGTATTCTCCAAAAACAATGTCAATTATCCCGTTTTATACCAATCTTAAGAATAAGCCCTAGAATCTGAACAGAACTTGCACTTATAGTTGTACATGCAGGCCTTATTAGATGTCGTTGTTGTTGTTTAAATGGCGAACTGGGGCAGTTTGATTTTAGGATTTATATTTCATAAGCCAATTGCATTAGGATAGCTTAGGCCGGATCTTTTGTGGTGTTTCGGGGAGAGAAAGGGATCAGTTTAGAATATTAGGGGGATGTCCAGTTTTCAGTTTAGAATATTAGTGGGATGTCCAGTTTTCAGTTTAGAATATTAGGGGTATGTCCAGTTTTCAGTTTAAAATATTAGTGGGATGTCCAGTTTTCAGTTTAGAATATTAGGGGGATGTCCAGTTTTCAGTTTAAAATATTAGTGGGATGTCCAGTTTTCAGTTTAGAATAGTAGGGGTATGTCCAGTTTTCAGTTTAGAATATTAGGGGTATGTCCAGTTTTCAGCTGAAGATATTATGGTCACCTTCCTCGTCATCGTTTGTGTGCCGTTAGATGTCACATAGGGCCCGCATTGGCTTCCTCCACTCCGCTCTGATGCATGCAACTTTGTCGGTTTCTAAAAGCAATTTTTGCCTCTCGTAATAATGTTCTTCTAAATGTTTCCCTTTGACGTCCTCTTTTCTCTAGTTCATAAAATTTTCAGGTTTTTTCAATGTGGCCTATCAAAACCCAGGTCTTTTTCTTTGCCCTTTCATCCACTTGAGCTTGTTTTCTGTCCCAGAGCTCTACATTAGTGATTGCATCATACCATTAAATCCCCTCTTCTCTGCAGAGTCACCAGTTTATGAACGTTTTAAGTTGATTAGTAATTGCCTTAGTTCTCCATGTTCCCGCTGCATACAGCTGTACTGATTTGACATTGGAATTAAAAATTAAAAGTTTCTGGCCATATACTGCTGGACCTATAGTTTAAAGATCAACCGGTACTAATTGGGTGATGTGGGGAACATCACATCGGCCGCCTTAACTTTCTATGAATTTACACAGTACCCCTTTTATGCTGGGTCGACGTAGGAGCCCAGGTCATATTTTTTTCTCAAGAAAAACTTCCCTCGAAGTCGGAGTGCATCTGCCCGAGAGGTAGAGGAACTAACAGTCTGCAAACAGTTAGGCCAGATCCGTAAAAGGGGTGTACGCGCAAAACACAGCTCCTTGTAGAAAGCCAAAGTCTGGAAATGCACGAACAACCAGGATTTTCCACCGGGTTTTACAGCTGGTGAACTCAAACTGCAACCACAACAACAACGGCCAGTACTGATTAAGCGAATTTAAACCCCCCTTGATTGCACAAATTTTTCATGCCCCCTTCCGTTATGCGAGCCAAAGTACTTTTTCCCTCACAAATTTTTGCGTTCCCATCAAAAACGTTTTTACAGGGAGATCACGTAATTTACACAGCCCCCA